TTTTTTTCTTTGATATTCAATTATATGGCTTACTTCTGTCTTCTACAGTTGCTTTCATTGCTTTATTTTTCTTTGTTACCCTAATAAAAATTCCATTCTTGGGCTATCCTCTGAGAAATGTAAAACTGCAGCTATCTCATTATCTTGTTCTATGGTATTAATACCATTTTCAGAGATTTCCCATTCTACAGGTTTATATACCATTCTTATAATAATTTGATTTTTAAAGTCTTAAAATTAGTGTCACGTTACTAATATTTAAGGTCAGTGATCTTTTAAAAAAAAGGCATGCAGAAAGTATAGCATATGTATACAAATTTTTTTATGTTTCAACTAGATGATGTCCAGTTGGGCTCATCTCTTCCCTCCCTTAGCAGCCTGCTGCCTCATCCTTATGTGAAGGCAAACACACACACACACACACACACACACACACACACACACACACACACAAAACAAACATGACATGGTCCTTCAAAACTGTAATACAGTCAACAAAATCAGGAAATTAAAATTGGTACATCACTACCACCTACTCCTCAGTCTAGTTTCACCATTTGTCCCAAGAATGTCCTTTTTAACAAAAGGATTCTGTCCAGAATCATGCATTGCATATCATTGTCTCTTCATTCTCCTTCAGTCTGAAGCTGTTCCTCCATCTTTTCTTGACTTGTGTGACCTTGACACTTTTGAGGATTACAGGCCAGGTATTTTGTAGAATGTGCCAACATTTGGGTTGGTCTGATGTTTCCTCATAGGTAGATTCAGGGTCAGTATCTTTGGCAGGAACATCTCAGAAAGAATGCTGCGTTCTTCTCAGTGCATTCATTCTATCAGGAAGTTCATTATGTTGATCTCTCCTATGACCAGGGGTGTCCACTTTGAGCCCTTGGTTTAGGTGATGTCTTCCAGGCTTCTCCACCGTGAAGCCTTTCTTTGTGATTAGTATCTTAGGGAGAGCTTCTCTGAAACTCTGCGGATATTACCCTGTTCCTCACCGAACTTTCACTCACTAGTCTTAGCATAGCTTTGACATTTTTTACAAGCTCCCCACAGAATTCTTACATGCAGCCAGGACTGAGAACCTCGGGCCTGGAGGCCAGGGCTCTGCCCTGTCTGGTTGGGTAACCTTGGGCAGGGGAGTTCCCTGTGTTAAGGTCTCCTCATCCAAAACTGGCTAATGAGAGTCCTGACTTCATGGAGCGTGTGTGAGGAATCAGTGTAGTGATGCCCATATAGCATTTGGCAGAAGGCCAGGCATAAGGTCAGGGCATGTGACAGTTAGGTTAGGAGTAACAGCAGACAATAGAAACCCCACAACAAACGTGGTTTAAACACAGGGCATGCTTTTCCTGCATGTAAGAAGTCTGGAGGTGGGTACCCAGAGGGCTGGTGTCTTTTCAAGCATCAGGGACCCCACTCCTATCTTTCTGTTTCCACCATGACTATTGTGAGGCTTCTGTTTTTGAGGTCACCACATGACCCCAGATGGAGTTCTGGCTGACATGTCCTCTTTTTTTTTTTTT